GAAATGGTCTTAGTAGCGTCGATGGGTTGAGGATTTGGTGAGCAATGTATAAATGTGTTTTCAAGTTGATGCAGTTAGGTTAATCATTAACAGCATGAATAGAGTAATGCATTGTTTTACTATACTCTGAGTTTTTTATTTTTATATTACATGTATATTGACAATTTATCTGATGGAAGATTATTTACTAGTGACTTCAACTAGTGACTTCAACTTATTTACTAGTGACTCAATTTATTAATATAATCAACTTGAATCCTTAATTCGCGTGTTGAGAACTGCGAAACATCGGGCAGGCTTGGCTGGTTTGGATCTCTTTACTACTTTGACTCATCTTAACCCCAATCGTAGATGAAAAGACATGACAATCTGAATATTTTCTTGATAATCCAGCTATTAATTTACAAACGGTGGACAGTAACAGAAAATATGTAAGCTCTGTGTAAAAAGAGAAAAAAAAATGAAATAAACTTAAAATATTAAGGTATCTGAATTGTGCCACTTCTAGTTGTGTTTGTTAACATTCTATATTTTTTTAAGATGTAAATGGGTCACATTTTTAGTTCTCCGCTGATCGGCATACCCTACATTCCTTTATCAGCTTCCTCATTCAACAGTAGTATGTTCTTGAAAGTTGTCGTCGTTTTCTAGACTTTATGTAGGAATGAATTAATGCATACTAAATTGCCGCGTTGATCTTACGCACAAAACAATGTATTTGCTGATGGATAGGGGAAACACATCTCAAAAATATTGAAGTCTTACCTGAATTACAATTCAAAACATAAAGATCATAAATTATCGTTCAAATTTCATGAGAAATATTTTGCACTAGAGAATGTCCTTGTAGATGTCTTCCTTTTTGTGTTGATGATGAAACGTCCTCCCACACCCGCCCTCCTACGCGCGTCTGTAGAACGAAACCAAAATTAGCAACCCTTCCTCTCCTGCACACAGCGTGGACACAAATCCTCTGTGTTTGGACTGTATAACTGTCGGTGTATTTGTTCGCAGACGATGACTTAAATCTTATCAGTAATTCCAAATTTGTTGCGTTTTATTCATACAGATTTCATTGATTCTTTTATTATCAAGAAGGAAGAATTTAATCAATCTGCATTTAATATATTATACACCTACGGAATTATTTGACATCTTTTATGATCAAGATAAAAATCCTATAATTCTGGACTTCATCCGTCCTATACATGTGGATATATTTAACTATGTCTATAGTCATGAAGTCATATAATTCTGCATTTCCTAAGTCTTAACTATGACATTTATTTAACTCCTTCTATATCAAGAAAAATTAATCTTACGAACCTAAGAACTATTAGTCTTTTTATTTATTTTGTATAGCTAACAAGCTCCTGGAAGAGGAAGTGATATCATCAGAGCTTTGTAAAATATACCTCAGTCGCTTCAGTTCCAATGAAGAGCGATGAATACAGAATTTGCTTTTCGAATACGTATTCGAAATTCTGTATTCGAATACGGCTTGTAGCGGTCTCGTTCAGGATTTTGAATTAATGTAATAACATATTTAGAAATTTAGAATTACAACCCCTGGCAAAATTTATGGAATCACCGGCCTCGTAGGATGTTCATTCAGTTGTTTAACTTTGTAGAAAAAAAGCAGATCAGAGAGATGACACAAAACTAAAGTCATTTCAAATGGCAACTTTCTGGCTTTAAGAAACACTATAAGAAATCAAGAAAAAAAATTGTGCAGTCAGTAACGGTTATTTTTTTAGACCAAGCAGAGGGAAAAAAATGTGGAATCACTCAATTCTGAGGAAAAATTATGGAATCACCCTGTAAATTTTCATCCCCAAAACTAACACCTGCATCAAATTATATCTGCTTGTTAGTCTGCATCTACAAAGGAGTGATCACACCTTGGAGAGCTGCTGCACCAAGTGGACTGACATGAATCATGGCTCCAAAACGAGCGATGTCAATTGAAACAAAGGAGAGGATTATCAAACTCTTAAAAGAGGGTAAATCATCACGCAATGTTGCAAAAGATGTTGGTTGTTCAGTCAGCTGTACCTAAAATCTGGACCAAATACAAACAACATGGGAAGGTTGTTACTGGTAGACCATACTGGTAGACCAAGGAAGACATCAGAGCGTCAAGACAGAAAACTTGAAGCAATATGTCTCAAAAACCTAAAATGCACAACAAAACAAATGAGGAACGAATGGGAGGAAACTGGAGTTAACGTCTGAGACCGAACTGTAAGAACCGCCTAAAGGAAATGGGATTTACATACAGAAAAGCTAAACGAAAGCCATCATTAACACCAAAACAGAAAAAAACAAGGTTACAATGGGTTAAGGAAAAGCAATCGTGGACTGTGAATGACTGGATGAAAGTCATATTCACTGATGAATCTCGAATCTGCATTGGGCACGGTGATGATGCTGGAACTTTTGTTTGGTGCTGTTCCAATGAGATTTATAAAGATGACTGCCTTAAGAGAACATGCAAATTTCCACAGCCATTGTTGATATATGCGCTGCATGTCAGGTAAAGGCACTGGGGAGATGGCTGTCATTACATCTTCAATAAATGCGCAAGTTTACGTTGATATTTTGGACACTTTTCTTATCCCATCAATTGAAAAGAGGTTTGGGGATGATGAAATCATTTTTTAAGATGATAATGCATATTGCCATAGAGCAAAAACTGAGAAAACATTCCATGAAAAAAGACACATAAGGTCAATGTCATGGCCTGCAAATAGTCCGGATCTTAATCCAATTGAAAATCTTTGGTGGAAGTTGAAGAAAATGGTCCATGACAAGACTCCAACCTGCAAAGCTGATCTGGCAACAGCAATCAGAGAAAATTGGAGGCAGATTGATGAAGAGTACAGTTTGTCACTCATTAAGTCCATGCCTCAGAGACTGCAAGCTGTTATGAAAGCCTGAGGTGGTGCAACAAAATACTAGTGATGTGTTGGAGCGTTCTTTTGTTTTTCCATGATTCTATACTTTTTTCCTCAGAATTGAGTGATTCCATATTTTGTCACCTCTGCTTGGTCTAAAAAAATAACCGTTACTGACTGCACAATTTTTTTTCTTGATTTCTTATAGTGTTTCTTAAAGCCAGAAAGTTGCGAATTGAAATGACTTTATTTTTGTGTCGTGTCTGTGATCTGCCTTTTTTCTACAAAGTTAAAAAACTGAATGAACATCCTCTGAGGCCGGTGATTCCATAATTTTTGCCAGGGGTTGTAGATTTAAATTGTAAAAATAAGATTTTGTTTATATATGAACGTCACCTAGATGAATACAACAGTAGTTAACTTCATTCCAACTTTTAGTATTTGATTCATTTCACCGGAACCTCTTATTAGAGAAAGTATATATACCTAAGTGTAGTCACTATAATCTCATAGTAATTACACTGTTCAATAGCTGAAGTGATTTATAATGATTATAACCTTTTTCTATGTACTTGTAACTTGAGACTATCTGTTATTCATACAGGGTTCTATACATTGACCAGAAAAAAGCGTCATTATTTTTCCTGAAATCAACGTGAGACAATTTAGGTTTTTATACTGTCATTCTAGATAGTAATTAGTTTCAGCCCCAATAATAAACGAGAAACTGTATGCAGCTAAATGTCATCGTTCAGACAATCTTCCCGGAAACTGATGACACAGAAGAGTGATAAGATGCGTCCATCGGAACCAAAATTCATTCAATTTCAAGTTTTGTTTCTTTCTTTTTTGGCGGCCTACATCAGTAGATCATTTTCTTTTAAAGACTTTGATGCATTAAAAAACTTCCACCAGTTAAGACATCTTTTGGTGATATATCATATATTCAAAATGTCCATGCCATATATTAACATAAGTTTGCGCTGTGAGGTAATCTTCTAATCTAATTAAGCTGAATTTCGGTTCAGGCAAGTACGGTGAGCGCGTACTGCAATTAGTTAAACAAAAACCTACTGTAGAGATAGGTTCTTACTCAAGCTGCGTTGAAGTTTCCTTGTATCATTGCCTGGTAAACTTTTTAACGCCATAGTGCGTCGCAGCGCTGATCATCTTATGCTGAATTTGTCTATCCTGCATTCATGAACAGTTTTTTGTAAGCGTTGAGTAACTATTGAACATTATAATAATGTTATTTCAACATGCTATTTTCTAACTTTTTAATTTTGCGTCAACACAACCTCTTGCTACACACTATAATAAATTATTCGCCAAATTCAACAGAAGGCTTCTATTTTTCTATTTCCACTCATTATTTCGCCTCAGTGAATTCTAATTCGGATATTAAATAAAAATGTGCATTTCATCGTTTCGATGCATTATCATCGTCTCAGTCGCATGTTTATTGTTATGGATTTTTAATTCACTACAGGATATTTGTAATAAAAATTATGCATAATAATATTGCATTTATGATGGCTTTCAGATGGACTCTGTACTATATCTTATTCTCTGTTGCTCATCAGAATAGCATTACGTTGATACGTTTTATGTCATTTTCGCTTTGAACAAACATTAATTACAGTGATGGTATTGCCAAGTGTTCAAACTTTTGGGCATATACATATCACTTCGGATTATCATTAAAGAAAATAAAAATTACATTAGAAATTATGCATAATTTATTTAGCAATAAATTTACATGAAACTCGAAAAAAATACAAAATTAATTTAAAAAAAAAAAACACCCAATCCAGAACCAAATTATTGCCGCCAAAAATGTTCTAAAGTTATTGAGGGTCGAAAGCTATCACACATCAAAAGTTTTCTGCCGTCGAAAATTGGTTACATGAATATTACCCATTAATAATAAATTAGAAGAAGAGAAAGAAATAATACAAAAGAGTCTCGCGTCAAACAGGAGATCTCCAGAATGATCTTGAGTCTCATGCTCGAACTGCACAGTGTATCAGATATCAACCAAATTATGAGCAGTGGTAATAAATAAAACCAAATGCAATTTTTGTTGATATCGAGTAATGATACGCGGGGCAGTTCTACCATAAGCCAGCTCAAGCAGATGTTTCCGTTTAATATTCATGTATAACTTAAGAAGAGAGGAACGTACGCACACAAAGAAGCATGCAGACACCCAAACTGAGAAGAATACAATCCTTTCATGGAGAAGCCCACAAAATTCACAGTCACGCATGCGCGAGGCGTATCCTACGCACTGAGAATCGCTCTAAATATGATCAAAAGCGAACGTTTCTATCGCCACGGAGAGTCATTTCCGAGCAAGGGAGTCTCTTTAGATCTAAAAAAGAAACATATTTCAGTTCTAAGTTAACGACCTTCGTTTCTCAGAGCGATAATTGAACCCCGCGCACTAAAAAACATAGTCAATAGCCTACACGCATGAATTCTAGTTTCAGTGATAGGAACCTATCGTTAACTTCTATCTAAATCGATGGTCTCGTTTGTATAGCTCGTTTTTGTTCCGATCACTGACATATATACATCAAGATTTGGAAAATAGAAAGCCTCTTTGAATAACGCCACGAACCCTAAAGCGCTGGAGAACAAGAGGCTTCTATTTTCATAATGTAGGTAATTATACATGTTTCCTATGCAGGAATAAAACGGTGACATCTACCAGTCCTGACTTATGTTGCACCTGCGAGACTGACGAAACATCTATCACAGTTACACCTTACGATGCACTACTTCAATCGACGTGCATTCTTGAGCTTTTCAAGTCGTACGTCGCTTAAATAATACGTGTCTCTTTCTGCTGCTCTGTCTCTACAAACTGTCTACAGCACAAAGCATTCAAAGTTGAAACAGCTCAGTTTTTCTGAAGACTTTAAAAAATGAAAATAACTGGCTATAAGAGAAAAAATTTCGAGTTGTAATTCGATTTCAATTGCATTTTTCGCTAGGAGGAAGCACGGAAGGAAAGGAGGGTGATCGGAGGGAAAGTTGCCGTGCTTCAAGAAAAAAATCGAGCTGAAGTTGAATTAAGATAGAAGAATGAGTGCAGCAATGGCAGCGATGGAGGCGGTCGCCTACTTGCGGTCGTCGAAGAGGTCGTCATCATCTTCGACTGACTTAAACGATCCCTGAAACAAATGATTTGGTTTAACGTTTACATTCATTCTAATGAATGCGATTTCATAATACATTCATTCTGGTGCGTTGGTAGAGAATGCATGCGTGAACAGGATCGACTGTTCAAACTGTACTGATGAAAATCAACCAGCAGTTACAATTGTAAACTGAAGCAAATTTTTCAAACATGCTCAAAAAGGAAAAGACCATAATAGGCACTGAGTTAGGTTACTTAGGTATCTTCCATAATTATTTTATATCTGTTATCGTAAAAATGTGTGACTTTTATTGCAGTCATAAGGTGATTTTTTATTTATTTTGTTTCTGTTTCGCAAAATACAATGATCTGAGAATTGATTAGCTCGGCTGCAAAATCGTACTTAACCGAAGCAATGCGGTCAAGGCTCTGCCAGGTTGCTGTATAATATGAATGTATGCATTGGAAGTTACGAAACAATAAGGGCTTAAAACCTTTTAATAGCAGAATAGTTATAGTTGAATGATGATCTTACATATGCCATCGTGAATGGCCAACATGTTACGTTCTAATTTAAAACAATATTTATGGTGAAACCATTATCAAAGTTATTACGCCCGTGAATAATAATAAGCACCTATGATCAATAAAAATTATTTTCTAATTTTTTTCAATTCTGAAATTTTCCAATCTATTAAAATTTCGATTCTCAAGAAGATATTTCAATTAAATTTATTTAGTGTGTAGAAAGACTAGCCTGGTTGCCGTCGGCCCTAACGCCGCCCGAGGTGGCGGGCACTGCGTTGGACTCCAGCACTCGGAAGCCATCATCGTCAGCGACGTACGTCACGAAGAACTCGTTGCCTTCGTTGTCCCTCCATCTACAACAAGCTCAACGTTTACGATGCTAATAACTCAAGTGCGATATTATTTTTCGTCCATGAAATGATACGATTCAAAAATGAATCGTATCATTGAATGAATAAAAAACCAACATAAGGTTTTGAATTTCGAAATCCATTGAATACAATTTTTAATATTTTTTGTGAGCTCTAGCCTCGTGGGTATATAATTTTAGCAGAACACTCGCACAAGATCATCAGCCTTATAAATTATAGATTTGTTTTCCAATTCTTCTTGTTGTTGGAGTTCAAGAATTTTTTAAGGCTACCGTAAATATATTTTATAGCACAGCATGATGGAGGTCGGTTTTGAGAACAATGGTCAGTTGCCTATAGGCTATCGTAAACATTCAATCTCATATACTTGCAAGAATACATTTTCCTGTTAGGAAAATATTTAAACTGATCAATAACACTTTTGAAACTATTTCAATAATCTCATCTTCAATTGGAATGGCCGTACCTGTAGGTTCCAGTGATTTCATCACCGTCATCATCGACCTCTTGGACGTGACTGAAATTTTCCTGGACGTTGCTGACAGTCATGGGGGAGGCCGCGGCCAGGACCACCATGCCGAACAGGGCAAGTGCAACCTGCAAACAAATAAAATTTATAAGACGAACGTTATTAGTTATGTTTATAAGATGTTCGATTGTGAACATAAACTAGCTTGGCGCAATTTCTGTGCGAAAATAAAGGATGCAATTCAAAATTACTTCATACAAATTCAATGGAATATTTTTTAACAGTTAAATAAATCGGACACCATTTTATCGTTATTGATATATAAAATAATAGCTCAAAAACTCATTTCAAATGAAGCGTATATTGAATACACGTGGTACATAAATATATTTGGTTTCTTTATCACTCTTTAATTATTTCAGTGTACTTCCGTGCAGGCGATACCGTTGGTATAATCTGCAATTTGAAACGTCATGAATGATTAAGAGACATTTAATCTACCGGCTGTTGAAGCTGTTCGCTTCATATCCCATCGTAGTCTTAGCAGTAAAATTACGTAGTAATATTTCTGTATTTGATGAGTAACTCTAACGTTACCAACAAGGACCACGTGTGCATCATTATTCGACTGCCAGCTACCCACAACTTTTCCAAAGTTTCAGCCATCTTGTTCTGTAACTCGTAAATTTATTTTCTCATCTCACCGCTGCCGCGTGCGACTCGATGAGGAAACCTCCCGCTTTTCCTGACCTACTGGCATCGCGACCTTATAGCAGAGACCTCTTATCGAATATCCTACACACATGTTGATCCTACTCTTCATTTTACACACAAATGACCTATACACATGTTAAATTTAATCGACGTTTTACACAGTTAATCTTTTTTCGGAAAGCAAGCAGAGGATATGGAGCTGAACTTTGTACGTATGTGTCAGCATCTTTCTGTATAGTTCTTAACTATACTTTAACCAAGACTCACTTGCCCAAGACTAATGTTGTATCAATATGTGTTATGAACTTATGATTAAAAATAATAAATTAATTTATTATGAAGTTATACTTTTTTAATTTCAGTATCGAAGAAACTGATTTTTCAGATTCAAATCATACAAGTGATCTGAAATAATTTAAAGTTATTTTTGTGGGGTAACCGTGCCAATATTTTAATTTAAATCAAATAAAGTTTGTAGGAATGATTGCGAGCCGAAATTTTGCTTCTAAGTACAAGGATAAGAATTTATCATCAGAGAAGTGGCGGGTGAGAACATTCACAGGCATTTTTGACACCTTCTCCTCGTACGTGCAGCAAAATACTTTCACCGTCCTGGGGACGAGCCGAAGTGCAAGATCGTTTTATGACCCTTCATGGTTGGGACTTAATGCATTTTCGCCAAGTTTTTGGTCGATAAGAAACATTTCAAGGTGATTTAATCACAAAAAAATCGTAATTTATATTAATCATAGGTACCTAATGATTCAACTTTTTTTGTTAATAAACCCTAGTGAGTTCGTTATCAGAATTTCTAAGCAACGATCAACAATTAACTCGCCAAACAGTAGCACAAGTTGACTGTAAAACTATTAATCTTGGTATATAAGATCGTTGAAAAATATAACATAAATCTAGCATTCTACCTGTCAGCCAGCGTACACACCTCCGCCCCCACCGCTGCCGCCACAGACACTAACTCCTACAGGTATGAGATCTTCCACTCTCTCCTCCAGCCGTTCACCGCGGCGCGAGTAGCTCAAGGTGAAGGCCGCCCCCTAAATATGGCTGGCGCTCGCCGCTCTCTACGCGAGAGTCGGTCATGGTGCACGCCTCGACTGTACTGTGCTGCGATATATTTGACATTTCGCTCCTATTTTGAGGAGATAGCTTGCTTTTTGGCGCCAACTAATCAAGAAATTGAAGCTTCTCATATCTATGCTTGATTGTTTTTTTAACTGATGACCAGGCGGAGATAAGTTTCATTTGCATTTTAAAGTTCAAGTAAATAAAACAGACTGAATTGTTAACATGAATTATTGATGCATTGAACGTGCAGATGTAATGTCCTATAGACCTACGCACTAAACTAAATATCACGAGATAATTGAAATTATTAAGACAATAGCAACAACAGTATCACAATTCCTTTACTTGTGACTATATTATATATATGCGGCTGAAATATAGGACCGACTTCAATTTTCTCTACAGATTTATGGCCGTTAGAGGAATGCAAGAGTGCTCGGTTCCTATTAGGTTGAGGATCATCATGAATAATATGGCTTCAGTGGAGGTATATATAGTTATTTATACAGTATATGTATAATAAAATCGGGAAGATGTTTTAATAAGCAGGAGAACTGCGGAATTCATCATTATTTGCAAACTAAATTGCATTGAGAAGGCAATCCAAATCATTAAAATCCACTTATTACTAAAGAAAATTTGAACGAATATTTAGAAGTATTGGCTAAAGTAATTAGCTTCAAAAATATTTCCAGGCTCTTTCTTTCACATCAAATCAATGTGAACAAAAAATTCATCGGAAGATTAGATTATCAATGGATCGCTCAAAAATATTTTCGAATTGTCCTGCAATGAGCACGTGTCCTAAATCTAATTTCTCAAATATTCAGCTTTAACTTCTTATTCTCTTGATGAACTTTCAAGCCCAATTAAGTCCGGCTGAAAGAATTAATTAGATAGTTGGTTGTTCGTACGTGCAGATGAGCTGTGGCTGAAATTCACTATTCCATAGTGCATTTTTTGTGCTCATCGGTAGTACTCGTGCATATCATGCGGGTTACGGTCAAGTATCAATCTCTGGAAAGCGTATCATAACAATCATACATATTACAATAGACAATACTGTTCATCAGCAGAAATTATAGATTACGGTTTTCAGGAAGCATGCAAAATTTTTTAGAAGATAGATTTTAAATTTTCTTCAGCGTAAAAAATGTAATATTATTCATTCAGGCTCTTTATTGCAATTCTGTCCTTCAGATAGCTGTTCCTCTGTTATTGGTGAAGTTATGAAAATTAAGTTCGATAATTTTTTCACGAATATATTGGACAGAACGTGATGACATTGGATGAACATTATGCTTGGAGTCTGCTTGTCGAAAACTTTATCCAAGTCTAGATCGGAAATAGGTAAAATTTAAATACAATTCAAATAAGCTCATAACTTATAAACTGTTTTAATTACTTTAAAAGCCCAAAAAGCCACTGATAGCGCAAATGAAGTGTGCTGAGTAAAAGGTATAATCCATTGTGAGGAGGTGAGTAGGAAATATTTTTGCTTTTCTTCTTGCATTGCCAGCTTGAAAGTGCCCCACAGATGGTGGCGCCCGCGGTGAGATCACTTTAAGTTAATCAAAGATGAATAAATTGAACTATATCTACTATGAGATCCATTATCAATGTTTTTATAGTTATTTGTGCTCCCTCTTCGGCCAAAAGATGTTAAACGTGGTCAGGACATTGTGAATCCTGGTTACTGCAAGCTAAGTTAGTAAAACCATCGTATAATGAAATCAGTACTTCTGCTTGTCTTTAATGGGGTAACAAATGCCAATACAAATTTAAACGAAGATTTTCTGTACTTATAATTAGACTGGTTGAAAATTTATTCAAATTTACAATTCGTTCCCATAAACTAAAAAATATACCCAGAGGCAAGCATGCACTCACCAAGAGCTTCATGTTTTAAGGTATAAATGCCGGGGTCTGGACAAGAAGTTTCACGTATTGAGTGCTACTCACGAATGACACTGAGGCGCTGCGAGGGCACGTTTTATATCGCAGCTGCCATGCCCGTGCACCACCCAGGCCTGTAGTATCTGTGAGGTCAGTGGGCAGCTCTTGAGGCAGTTACTAAGTCCCCACACTTACTTACACGGCGCTTGACTCTTCCTGTTTTAACTAAAAAAACTTCCCGCATTATATCAATTAACTAATGAACCCTTCTATACTAACAAATTGTTGATTCGAAGAATATTGTAAGATGGTTGCTAATTAGAACCTAATTGTGCAAAATTTTTAAAAAATATAACTCAGTACCCACTGCAGTTAGTGACACAGAGCGCATTTTCTCGTCGACGAAAACATGAAGTCACGGACGGACAGACAGACGGACAGACGGACATGGCGAGCTCAATAGTGCATTTTTTCCATAAATGATAAAATGTGCTAAAAAGGAAAATAAGTTTTTTTTTTTAACTGCAGCTTGAGACCATGTTGATTGAAGTAACATTTAGACTCGTTAACCACATTCATAGCCGTAACAGGGAAATCAATCGACTAATGCTTTAATGTTGTTAACGGGTTTTCAACTGATAATAACGCTCGTTTACCCAACTTAAAATGTATATTTCATGTGTGAATATATCAATCCATAAAAACAAGTCTCGCTTAGCAATAGTGAGGCGTTATTTTTTACGTTATATAGAACGCTTGTCAAATAATTATAATATATATTCAGTGCAGTGAACAAGACTGAAAATTTTCAATGTCAAGTTAAATTTGTCAATGAAATAAAAGATAAATACGAAGGAAGGCTGCCACCAAAGAGAACATTTTCTGCTGCTGTTTTCGAAACTCAACTTTTTCATAGACCGATTAATCTCATTTTAAACCGGTTGACTGAGAGATTGTAATTCAAGCCGGTAGGACTTAGAGTTTCTATTTAAGCCGGTTGTCTGAGAGACGTTATTTTAAACAGGTGAGAGAGTGTTTTCATCACGTAAATATATAAGGTAAAGATAGAAAACAGGAAAATCGATCTTTCGCGATTTCCCTTCGTTGCGGGGAGTCTATTCTTTTGCGGTCTGTAATTGAAGTCGTCCTTTCGCGCGATATGGAAAAACGTTTTTCGCGCGCTATCAGTTCAAATTAAACTGATTAAAACTTTTGCCCGTTGCATGCCTAGGGACTTCTTCACAAGATGCACCTCTCAATGTGGTTACAGAAATAAATATTAAAGCCGTTCATTATTGACTGGCCCAAACCCATCGAATCAAGTAAAAATACAACGAATTTCGTGAGAAATTTACATAAAATTTTCCTTTGTATTCATGAATGAGACTAATTGGAATGACGGTTCATTCTTCCTGTTCATTGCAAAATCATTTGGTAAATCTAGAACAGAATTAAGGCTGAGTATGAGACTAATTCTCAACATCGGTGTAACTTATGGAACAGCCAAATATAATAAAATATCTTACTCATTCGCTTGCTTCAGAGCCTAATGGGGGATATAAAGATTTCTAAGGAGTTCTGTCTTTACAAAGATCAACTTGACGCCCTCATTCCCTCCTTTTCGTCACTTATCCAGCCGCCCTTCCTAACCGTCACTTCCGTGATGCGTAAACTTTAAAACGTTCTTCCCACGTAGCGATAAACGCCGCTTTTCCCTAGCAGAATAAAGCGCCCATTGCGTTCCTCATGCCGTGCGACGGTATGGAAAAGAAGAATTTATATGAAGCCCACACAGATTTGTTCCGCCTACTATCCCTTTTCAATTAACTCTAAGTACAGTCGACAGAGTGCAGTACATGCTACATTTCGACAGTACAGTCGACGGATTTAAGGAGTATGTAGTTTCAATTGAATGCTGAAAATACCACATACTATTCTACATCTCGAAAGTTTTCCATATTTAAATGTTTAGAATATTATACTGTTGGGCAGAAAATTAAGAAAATTCCAATCTGAGAAAAAATGTGTATTCTAGAAGAGATCCAAGCCGTCGTTCGCAGAACGCCATTATTACAAAGTTTTAAATGATTCTCAAGAAAAACATTTTGATGAACAAAAAATTATGGATATAACAAACAATTATCAATTTGAATTGATCACGTGCTGACTGTAAATGCTGATCATCGCGCTTGAATAAATCTCTCAATAAATTTTTTTAGAACTGACGCCATATCCGATGACCGACTAAATGGCACTTGAAAATTCTGATCGAGCACGGAATTAAATGTCGCTAAAAGCTACTAACCCCATACTTTATTCAATATTCCTTAAAAATTCTGATCCAATACGTGATTAAATACCTCTTAAACTCCTAATCCGATGCGTTGAAAATTTAATCCATATCAAATGAAGCTCATTAGTTGCATGCCCACTTTAATGTAGACAAGTATTTATGAGTGTATGACGTGTATAAAGTTTCCCTTCTTAAGCTTCAAGCCAAGCATGGTGCGAAGTCAAATTTTTCTATGCAGCACTAAAGGTCAAAGGATTTTTAGATAGACTGTTTTTTTGCTCCAGTAACCATATATAATTAATGAAAATTATATTGTAATAGGATTTCTTTGTTTAACTCTCTGACATTATAATGCTAAATTACGTAACACTGCATCATGAACGTTAATTTTGGAATTGTAAGATCTTTCAAAATCGTAACATCTCTCAAAACTACTTCATACTTTTAATATTTATTTCTATATAGAAGCGTTGTTTTGTGAATTGTACGCTTCTATGATCACTATACCGTGATGTGTACAGAAGCAGTCTACATTTTATCAACATGGGAAATCTGTGTAGATTTTACACTACAACAAACTGATCAATATGCGAAATGCTGATTAATTATTATGTCAAGGGAATTTTGTTAAATATCTAGTTTGCTTGAACACAGTTCCAGAAACATTGATCTACATGAATCCTGTAGACCATTTGCTGTCATCGCATATGTTTTAGTGTCTGTGTTTGGTGTATTTATAATTATTACATATTATTTAGTTTAATAATCAGAAAAAACTGAAATTTAGGAATTTTTAAACTCGTTCACTTACATTCGTGTAATCGGTAGACGCTAATTTCAACAGCACCGTGTCATCACTGCAACGTTTGGGGCGATGGGATTTAGTGGACAAGGTTGTGCACCGTATATTGTATATATTGCGTAAATAACACTCATAATAGAGATTTTAATAATCGTGATAATACAACTTATATAGTACTGCAAGTCTTTGTTATAAATCGCTCAGTATTCCTGTTATCGATCATACGCGAAAAAAATGTTTACACAATCAGAAATATATGCGGCTAAACTAAGACCGCAAAGTTAGTCCAGCATAAATTTGCTTTTGAAAGTTCAAATATTTGCTGCAGACTGCATCGACTCGCTTTCAATTTTTTTTCTGATGAATAAAATTATTGATGAATATTGTAAGCGACTGGCCCTCGCCACGCCCAACGTACATCCTGAGGCAGCGAGCACCGAGCGTCAGGTGCACGCGCTAGTGAAAGCGAGTTGCACCTTAAGCCACTTATAATTAATTTACTAGTTAACTAAACTCATTTCTGCTACTCATTAACTCAAACTCGTTACTTATACTCATTACTCAAACACATTACTACTACTAATTAGCTCAATCTAATTTCTGCTACTCATTAACCAACAGGCCATATGGGCTTATTTCTTCAATGCCCACACTTCTATTCTATTCTATTAACTCAAACTCATTCCTACTTTCAAACTCAAACTCATTACTGCTATACTCATTGAATCAAACTCATTAGTTCTCATGATTTAAAAAAAATTATATTGTAACTTGTGATGCCTTCATGCCGCGTAGTTGATGTCACATCTACCCACAAATAATTTCTTTCAAATTAAAATAATTTTAGGAAAGTTTCATTCAAGAAAAAAACAATGGCATTAATGGATATTCGTAAAGTATTAAATTAAAGCATGAGTAAAAAACAATGAGTATTTATTTATACTCGCCAGGATTCATTAAATGATATAAATATTCGTCCTCCATGGCCCGTTTTAAAAAAGATTTGTAATTTCCTCCTATGCATCCATGTATGAAGGATAATTCTTTCATGAATATCAGCAAAAAATTAACCTATTTCACGATAAAGTGCATATCACAATAGAATGCAAACAATTATTATCATATGCATTATTGCTTACGTGAGAAGATATCAATGACATGAGATTTTACGCTAGTAATTTATCATGTGAAAAATGTGGATCCCAACATGCACTGGTGTACGTTAAAATATCAACTGTCAGTCGTTGTCGAACTGCTAATTCAACGAGATGAAGTAATCGCCTACTCAGTTTATGTACTCACAAGAGCTCATGAGGAGCTTCTGCCATATTATTGTAGTGATTCATGAGGATACTGACGCATTTCATAGTTTTTTTCATGCAAGACAAAAGTTTTTGTTCTAATTGCATGTAACTTGGAAGGCTCCAACCTTGCATATAATGAACACTCAGAATCAGCTTGAGCAATGTCAGCCTTTTTCGCAACTTACTGTTCATTAAAAAATATGTACTTGACATTACTTTACATTCGAGGTCACTAATCCGCGTTACTAGGCGACCACAGATCCGCCCTTAAATGTGACTCAAACTCTAATGCGGTAGACAGGCAGTGGTAGCCCACGGGTCTAGGAGAATATTGAGGGCATTTTTTCCTTATTTATGAATAGAAATAAGGCCTGAATGGTTGGCCATATGGGAGTAATTGCAACATTTCGACACATCGATGATATACACTCTTGCAACATGACTTAAAAAAACTTTTCAGATGCAGAACAGCTTCCGCATTTACACTGCAGAGACTCGTGCTCTAAAGTGCACTCCTCTTGAGCTTCGGCAGCAACGATGAAATGCTGCTTTATTTGTTGATAGCATTTGAATTACGTCTAATGTTTACTGGACTATTCTAAAAATTAGTTATCATTCTGAATAACTGGCCCACGAACAGTATTCCGAATAACTGGCCCCCTCGCAGTATTCTAGTATTAATAACTGAAATGAAGCTCTATCAGGCAAAAATTACCTACTAATAAATTCATTATACATGCGTTAAAAAATAATCTGCAAAAATCGCCCAGCCGCTTCAGGGTTACATTATCCATGCGCAGCCATGAACGTGGTGGTCGCCATGTGTCACGATCTCTCGCCCCCGTCAGTGTCGCTGCCCTCGTGACTCTTAAAACACGCGAATTTTAAGATACGGGAAACGCGGGTGTAACTAAATAAGAGTATTGAGGTCACAGTTCAGTGGTTCGTTTCTGTTATTTTAAAGCAATAAACAGTGAACAAATCCCATGCCAACTGCGCACTGTTACAATCTCCGTGGATGATAGACATCGAATAGTCAATATAAGCCAATCGCTGTAAAACCTCAAATAATCGATCTTCGTAGAAATTGATGTTAAGTTTTTATAAGAGATAATTTCGTGCACTATTTATTTGTTTAAATTTATCCCTAACTCATATATGACAATTCCATCGGTCAAACGAACCAATTTAAAAAAAAACGAATTTTCGAAAATCCGAGTGCATACATAGCGAACAAATACTTCAGTGAATTCTGTATTGCTTCGAATAGATTTCTATGAATGTTTCCACACTTACTATACCACAGAATTTCTTTGAAAAAAAGGTGAAGCATGTGCAGTTGTGCATTGATCCATGACTTCGACGCACTTTTGCCCTTCCTGCTTGGATGGAATATCATAGCCACGCAGCACTAAACGCTTGTGTTGCCAAAACAAACGAGCTCAGAAGCCACAGTGTTCAACTTTGTCGTTCTGGAACGCATCGCATTTAAATCTTAATGTCAGGCCACGAGTTCACTCCTGTGCATATCTGGGATGTCAATCTGTGGTGACGCTGCTACTTGTATTTATGTATAGAAGTGACGAGTCAATACTCAGAGAGACGTACTCCACACTGGAACGTACACCACACTGAAATGATGCACTCCACCCTGGAATTAGAGACGTACTCCACACGTACTAGGAGTGACTTACTTCACTCAATAACTTGAGATAACATTGAGGACGCGTTAAAGTGTATGAGATGCTTATATATATATATATATTAACGGCATGATGGCTAAATACCTAATAGTACGGTAGGTTGTCAGATGTAGGAAATCTTTTGTAGAAAATCCAGTGACGGAAAATTCATTAAAAACTTAGATTTTTATTCATGCCCAACTACTGAAGAAATACAACCTGCACTACTTCACCAGCTCACGCTTAGTTTCAGACATATTGTTTCCGTAGCAAGTCGACTGCAATACCAGATTGATGCCAAGATTATCGGATTCGAATATTTCCACTCTGAAGATCATTATCACAAATTTCTTTGATACCCTATCCTTCATTTACAATACGCAACAATTATCTCGTATATTACGCATATTAATAATTATTTGTAGTAAATACTGACTGATAGTTTGCCCAAAGGGAAATTTTTTAGAGCAAATTGTGCATTTTGGCATGAGTCTTTGATCATCAGGTGGGCAGGCTGCAAGCTGGACTTAGCGTCCTTTGGCTCATAACAAAAAACTGATCGCTCCACTTTCACCAGCAACACACAATCATTATCCGCTCCATATTTTCTTTAAACGCTGTGTACCCTAGAGAACCATTGAGTGCGCAAACTTCTAACCAACACTGAATGCCACAAAGAACCATTGTGTACCCAAACTCATAACCAACACTGAATGCCACACAGAATCATCGTGTACCCAAACTCCCAACTAACACTGAACACCACAGAGAACCATTGTGTACCCAAACTCCCAACCAACACCGAATGCCACAGAGAACCATTGTGCACTCAAACTTCCAACTAACACTGAACGCCACAGAGAACCATTGTACACCCAAACTACCAACCAACACTGAATGCCCCAGAGAACCATTGTGCACCCAAACTCCCAACCAACACTGAATGCCACAGAGAACCATTGTGCACCCAAACTTCCAACCAACACTGAATGTCACAGAGAACCATTGTGCACCCAAACTACCAACCAGCACTGAATGTTACAGAGAACCATTGTGCACCCAAACTCCCAACCAACACCGAGTGCCAAAGAGAACCATTATACACTCAGTAACAACATCTTCACTGTTTCGTACAATATCTTATATGTGATTTGCTTTGAAGAAAGAAAATAAATTTGCAAGTATATTCTGACCTCGGAAATGCATCATAAGACAATCCTTAGTGAGTCTAATAATAAATTTGGTTTTGTGCTAATAAAATTAAAATTATATTGTTTCGTGAAAAGTTACAAAAAACATGAATATTTAGGTATTACTAGAGCAATCTCGATTTTGCTTGACACCTTCAAAATTTTCATTTTTGAATACTATGAACAGGCCCATGCACCATGCAGCACAATGCCCGAAGTTTAATTAAAACTTAATATGTGTGTTTCGGAGTTCAATGTGGATTTAAATTGCCTCTCAAATATAAGGTTTAGTAAAGTCTCCCAGTTATAAAAGTTTAGATATCAATTTAATTGTAGGTTGAAATTAGCTGTGAAATTGAGCAGCTTTTCTTTATTAGATTACAAACGAAGTTCGACAAGATTCGCCAGAATTTTGTCGGAATGTTTAATAGATGTCTTTCTGACTCCAATTCTAGTGTCGGTTTACGTTCTCTCTTCAGAAATAAAATGGAATTTGAAGCAGCAACTTCGTTTTTGCCTGACCCGAATATTAGTATGAAAGCATCAATTCACTTCATAGAACCATATGAGCATTTTTATCAATGTTTGCAAACATTTCATTCGCATTAAGAAGTTTCTTTAGTTGTCAACTATGTTCTAGTTTAGTGCTAGCTTTCAGCGTCGAGTCGCTGGAACGGTCTAACGCACCAAATACGCACCAAATATTTGCAAGCAAAATTACATTATTAATATTACAATTGTTATTATTATTATCATTATTGTTATTATTATTATTATTATTATTATTATTATTATTATTAGTATTATTATTATTATTATTGATATTGTTAATATCAACATCAGCAATCAAGACGTCTGGAAAATGTCGTTGTACTAACAAAGAACATGATGATATTCATGGGCACTGATTTCTCAATTAGGAAATAGCCTGTAATATTATTTTTATTAATCGCAGTATTCGTGGCACTGAAAGTTTTTTTTTCACGAACCATTACTTACTTCCGAAAATGATTAGCTTTAAGTTTAATTTCGGAACTCCCACGTATAATAATTTACCTTTATTTGAAGCCAAAAAAGTACGTTATTGAAGACAGGATCCAAAGACTTTTACGTATTGAACATTACAATGGATTACCGCTAATTTATCTGAATAGACTTCCAGAAACCGCTATTAATAAACATGTTTAAATTAATATTCTAGGTAATATTGATTCAACAGTCCATGAAAAAACCTACAATATTTCGTTAAGCTCTTTTACCCGAAACTGGGAATCCTTCTTCGCCCATATTCGTGCATGACATGATTTGATGAGAAATTCGTATAATCTAATGCTATATTATCTAATTAAATTAATAATTTGTCCACTCAAACATTATAACGCTATGTATCGAAAATAATTTTTTATACTGTTAAATTAAATATTTCATCGAACAAACAATGAAGGTTCATACGATCAATAGTGTATGAATAGTTCCTACGAGTTCTCATGCGAATGACTCATTTGTTATTGACATTAATTAGCTTGCATGGTTTGGGACAGTGAAGAGTAGATAATCACTTCAAACTAATTCAAGTTATTATTGTGAAATAGTTCATGTTGATAGCATTATTATTTTATTCCTCTCACGATCGTCCCCATTTATTTTACCAATTTGTAAACTTCCATCATTTAATGAACAAATAATTAGATAATTCACTAAATGAAAACTGTCTGATCATAGTGACTCATTTATACGCATTATATAATTAATATATAATATTAATATTATTATTTATTTTTTTATTTAATTTATATTTGCCGGCATTTTGCTTTCAGGAAATTCAAGGATCTTGTGCACTAGAAAAAAAATTAAACTTACAGCCGCTGCCTTGACTTCAGATAAAAACTTAGTTTTTGTCTGCTTGATTTTAATTTGTGGAACTGAATTGTGAATAAAGTATAAAATTTAAGCAACTCTAATGTTGGCGAATAAAAGTAACTCTAAGGGTAAAGAATTCAAGTGAATCGGCCGTGTAAAAACTCTCAAGTGAATATTGAAATCGTTTAGGAACGGTGGAATAAAACCAGTCACTTCTGAGGTTATAAATATATTCATCTGAAGATTTGATATCATGAGGAACGGATGATAAATGCGGGCATGAGACTATCTATCACTCGGCAGTCACAGAACAAATCTACGTTATTTACACTACACTATTTAAAAGATTATGCTGATGTTAGGATCATTATAACTGAAGGTGGCTATAATAGGTACATGCACACTTTCTTTCAAGGTTTTTCACATCCTTTTATCCATTCTGGTTCATCTCAAGTTGTTACTAGCGCACCTGTGAGAATTAAAACCAATGCTCCTGACCGTATTACAGGCGATCATTTATATTAACTCACGCTCTTGATTATCAGAGAAAACTGAACGATCGTCTTCCAGCTCTAACGGCTAAAATTCAATCTTCTTAAACTGTAATCTCGTCGTTATTTTTAAATTTCGATGAAACCAAATTATCGATTATTATTGAATTATCGAAAAGATTCATTCGGTTTAATCGTCTCGTTCGTTGGAGTCACCATCGAGGTCGCCCTGAGCGCCATCAGCTCGCACGCCGTCGCTGTTCACGGGCACAGCGTTCGAGTTGACGATGCGGAAACCTTTGTCATCAGCCACGTACTGCACCACGAAGTCCTGACCTTCTGGGCTCGTCCATCTGGAAAAAATATGGATTCATGAGAGTTCGGCCACTTTTACATAATATGGCTCTGACCATTTGGTCAGAAAATGGCTTTAGGAGGGATCGTCCATCTGAACACAAGGTTTTATGAGTTATACAAGGTATACTCAAAATGTTCATAAGTGTGACAGTCCTTCTGAACATAAGGTGGCTTTATAAAGATTATCCATCAGAACACATGATTTCATGCGAGCTTGTCCATCTGTACATAAGATGGCTATATGTGAGACTGTCCCTCTGGTCAGAACATGGCTTTATGGAGACTTTTTCATCTGATAACATGACTTTAAAAGAGCTGTAGTCCACCTGATCATGACGTGGCTCTATGACAGAAGTCCATCATATCATAACAGGGTTTATACGACTGCTCTTAATCACAAAATATGGTCACCAGGTAGACTTGTCTGATCAAAACATCTATCTGATAAAATCCATCTTTGCGGTAGAACTTTTCGCATCGAGACTTCGATTTTTACGTAAAATAACGGCTTGAATGCGGTGCTACTATTCATATATACAGTTCTCCTGAAAGTGAAGACACAAGAACAATGTTTCCAGATTCAATTTTTGTCTTCAGCGTACTCACGTCGTAATACATGGGCAATAGCAGGTAGCTATAGCATGTGAAAATGTGTATAATTTTTGGTATGAGACGTTCTCCGCAAAAATGGATAAAACTGAACAGTAAACGGGCCCCCAAAAAATTTAACTAGGCTGAACAGTGAACAGGCCTCCTCCAAAAATGGACTAGACTGAACAGTGAACAGGCCCCAAAAATGTACTAAACTGAACAGTGAACAGGCCCCAAAAATGTACTAAACTGAACAGTGAACAGGCCCCCAAAAATGTGCTAAACTGAACAGTGAACAGGCCCCCAAAAATGTACTTAACTGAACAGTGAACAGGGCCCCAAAAAATAAACTAGACAGAACAGTGAACAGGTCCCCAAAAATGAACTAAACTGAACAGTGAACAGGGGTCCCAAAATTGAACTGGACCGAACAGTGAACAGGCCTCCCAAAAATGGACCAGACTAAAAAGTGCACAAGCCCCCTAAAATGGACTAGATTGAACAGTGAACAGTTCCCCCAAAAATAGACTAGACTGAACAAACTTACTTGTACTCGCCAGTGACCGAGTGGCCAGCGTCACCATCTTGGTTGTGTTCGAAGTCGTCGAGGTCCAGATCGATGACGTCACCGGCGCGCACCACCACCACCAAGCCAACCACAAACAGGGCAAACAACTGGGGCAAAAGATGGTGAAACGCTCAATTTGACTGTATATATACTCATTATTGCGGATTGAAACTAAAAATCTTGTATCAAATTTATGTGCTTTAATACATAATTATAATGAATAATTCAATTTAGAGTTATATTTAATATGCAATTGGAAAAGCGTAAACATAAAGTGCAATTGAAACGATAGCGTAATCTTCTCAGTCTCAAACCATATCGAACCCGGTGGAAGTCTAGTAGCTACTTCAAACTATCGTCAGTCATGAAAAGATCCGGTCAAATGACAAGATTTAGATCTTCTGTGAACAAGTCACGAAAAGTTCAAGAATCGGCGACAGGCCACATCAGGCCTACTCTTTAGCGCCGACATCATTATATTATGTTATGTTATGTTAATTAAACAACATCAAAAAACCTCAGCGGAATAAGCCCAGCTACTTTCCTACGCGAAATCCTACCTACAAATGCCGATCCGAACCCAAAGCCTGTTTTAGTAATATTGTCATACTTTTTTCTTATAACGCACTCAACTCACATTTCCAAACTATAGAAGGTAGATTCGAGTAAAATATGTTTTTCCATCTCATGAGTACGGTATGTGAAGCCATAGGCATAAATGTTCAATATATGTTCAAAACGTTGGTAGTGTGGATTTGTATTACCAACACTTGTCAATTAATTTCTTAGCTAGTTTTGTTGCTATTATTTAATAAATGATCTCTAAATCGTTTTTACCGGTAATCTTGCCCCTATTCCTTAAATTTTGGTTTACATTGAGATTTTTTTTGCCTAACTGAGTATTTACGACCTATTTGGTATTAGTTATATTTTTGATACTGAAACTACTGATGTTTTGCCATTGTACATTCAGACTTGACCGAGAGGAGAGTTGATAATTGTTGCGTGGCAGGAATTTAATCATCTGGTAATACGACACAATTTTTGAAATTTAAGGTTTTGCCTCATCAAATAAGCCAAGATAATAATTCGATCATGCTTTTGCCGCTACAAGAAAAGTTTCTACAAAATTTTGACTCTCACAAAAATTCGTATAGATGCAAATAGTACAGTGTCTGAAAACAAATTTTTTGCTGATGTCATATAATACAATTCAATTTCATTTCTCTACAGAGATTATCAATAGCCAACCAGACTCTAAAATGCAAGATTTTCTCACCAGGGTCTTCATGACGGCGGTTTTGAGAGAGTGCGCGGTTACAGCAAAGGTTTGCGAGGGAATGGCACAAGGTCGGGCGCCGTAACGCCTTATATACCCGCTGGAGCAGGTGCAGAAAGCCGCGTGACCCGACCTATGTGGTTACCTCCGTACCCTCCCGCGATGACCTCTTATGGAACCTGTGCCCTGTTGCCAGGCCCTTGATGTGTGGTGGCTGCTAAACAATGTTGTTCTGTTGTTCGTGGTGGTTACATCGTTAGCAACAATGATTAGGAGCATGAGCCAATATTCTTTCCAAATGTCAATGTCGTTGGAAACGATTCAATAATTCATTAATTCAAGACCTCAGGGATTTCTAGTTCAAGTACAAAGTATTTATGTTTAAAAATTCTCCAGGACCTAGAACATTGAAATTTCATTTTCACCGTCACGCCCGTGTCACACATATTTTATGGGATAGAAATCAGGTAACATTTGGATTTATTCTTTATAGTTATTTAAATCCGAATTGAACTTTTCAAGTTGTGTGCGTTCAGAACCAAAATGGCAAGCAGATAATATCTGACTTTCCAATTCTTTCGTCACCCCAAGCATCCATGTTATTTATTTCCCCCTGACATTTAAGGCCCTGGCTGCCCCCGCCTTGCTTGCTGCAACATGTCATAGATTATCTCGTCTATTTTTTACTAGGCATTTAACAGCAAAGAGAGGCCTATAAAATTCATTTTATTTTTATAGAAAACGTCTCGGAGTCCACCTCCATCGTCAGTTCAAAAATTCTAGAATGCAGATACAATCAGTAGTTAGTACCGTCGAAATTGAAGAAATAAAACATTTTTGTATAGTAAGTTTTCCGAAATGCAGAATATGAGATCTGATTATTCCATTATGAAAATTAAATGACACAAGTTTCCACCAGTGCAGTTTAGTCATTATGGAAAATAGTTATCTATTAATAAGGTATAATCGTTCAATTACGCATACGGAATACTTTTTAGCTACGTCGCTCAAAAATAGAATGTCCTAATTTTGATTCCTGTTATAACTTGGGTAAGCAATGAGTCCTTATGAAAAACGATATAAATAATTCATTGATTGCGTCTGTACAATGATTCAAGTTTCTCATTATCTCTGTTTCATTTTTCGCAGAAAAATTTAGCAATCCCGTCGAAGTAAGTCGTTTATGTGGGTGTAATAATAGTAAGCGGTGTATATGATAGGTGTCTATAAAAAGGAATTTAATGTTGGACACACGCAGTGAAAGGGCGAGAATAACCATTCAAGCTCAATTCATTTTAGTATTTAACTAATTTTCCAGCTCATCTCGCCATTTGTTTCAAGAGAAAAACAACTTTGGGGTTTGCCCTAATAGAATCTTCCTGAAAAAGCAAGCAAGTTCAGCGCGAACTTAACGCAATTATCCAATGAACCTTGGCTCGCACAGTCTGGTGAAACCTTTGCAAGCTTTGCCCAATTCTTCCTTGCCGTCGCCGACCTGAACGTCTATGCATAAAAAACATGCATTCATAAAACATAAAAAAAACATTCGCTGCATAGAAAGGAAGAACGGGCTTTTCCCATCACCGCCTGCGTCCGTGACAGGTTCTTGTGCAAGGAACATTCTTGCCATTTTGACAAGAGGCGAGCCTTTGTTTTCGCATAGCTTGGTATCTTGAGTTCAGCCAGACCTGAATTGCGTGCAAGATTATATCTTTTATGCGGGGTATATAGGCTGCGGATGCCATCAATGACATTAGGTAAATTTTCTGACTGACGGTAAAATACTGGTACTGGGAAATGCCATAACGTGAATGCTAATACTTTTTATTCAGATTTTATTACAGTATTGAAGTTTATGAGATCCTACCTGCTGCATGCTGGTCGTTTCACATTTGATCAAAATTCTGATTTTCATCATAAAATGAATCTTTGCTCGTATTCCCAACTTGAATATTTCATGTCAGATTAGCCGCTTGCTTGGTTTAGAAGTTCAGTTACTTCTCTAGTTCTGTACACCATAAAATGAATAGTAACATATGTATTTCATATCTATTTGAAAATTTTTTCATATAATAATTATAAAATTTTGCTTGTATCTTATTTAATATATTCATATTTCGTTTCATATTTATATTAATAAAATATATTGTATTATGTTTAGTATTTTATTGTTATGCCTAAATTCCATCATATTATACCAAATTTATATCATTTTTTATCATTCTATTTAAATTATGTTACACACAATTTACTTGTGCTTTTCATCATTTGCTTGTACTATCTACCATTATATAATCTCTACAATAATTAAAAGGCTTAAAAATTTATGCACGTTTAATTAACGAGATTGGTCTGCAGAATCATGATAAGCAGTAGCCTCGTATAAATAAATATGAAACTGTACATATAACGTATTGTCTGCTTTAACGAAGCCAAGCGGGCATAAACAATCCTGCATTGTTCTAAACGTTCGATGATCAAAACTCTTCCTCGCCCCCTGACCCAATAAGAGTTTCGAAAATACGAAACGCGTTCATTTCAAGTTCTGCAGGTGCAGTTGCATTAACTATCGGTGCACACGAATCTAGAAAAAATCATTGCACTTCTAAACTGTTAAAAAACTTGCGTGCGGTCCGTTGACCTCGTAGCAGGCTGACCTTCCACTTCAGTCTTGTCCCATATAAGTAAAGGCGTTTCGCATGGTAGAATAAATACGTTTTATGATTTTTTTAAATGAGCAGAGACCTGATTTGCTAAAAAGAGATGAAATCTGTTCAAACATTACCTAGAAATAAAGAAATATGAGTACAAAATTTTAGCTTTCATAGATAATTCAATCAGCGAACTTGCTATGGTTTAACAAGTGAAGTGACCATTCATTTATTAGCCGCCTAATCGACTCTTCTTACATGGTCTGATATGTCAGCGAGTCAGGCAGGCAGAGCCCAATAGGGTCCAATTTTGGAGTGCTTTTGAGCGATTTGATCAGCTCAGTTGTATCTAATTATGAATATTAGCGAACATATAGTAGCAGTAGCAGTGCAATTAAATTAATTGTTTCATGGTTAAAAGCCAATTTATTCGCAATTTAATTGACATTTAATATGAACATTCATAATTAAAATAAAATTCTACTCTTCGATGCGACGTACTCAAGATTATCCTGTTATTTTTTTCACAATGTGTTCAGTGCCTGAACACCAATAGTAGGCTGCCCTTTCTTTGCAGCTGCTTCAAATTAACTTGAAGCGCAGCTGACCTTTCTCGACATTTTAATGCCTATGTGTTACTTTTAATAGATAATCCTTCATGCAAAACTCGAGTCACAAAAAATAAAAACACCTTTCAAATATTTTCCATAAGATCGAAATTTTGTTAAAGAATTTGTAAATCTAATCCATTGGCATCCAAGATTCTTGTTTTTTTTAGGCGGTTACCTGTGATTGGTGTCGGTCAGTTTACCTATTGTTCTCACACTCATAAGAGGCGATTCAACTCGGTGTGAGGGCCGTGTTTTTCATAGTGCATTGGCAGCACCGCTTTATCGGTGTTATTGTCAACGGTAATGTTTTTATATGTAGAGCTGTCAGAGTTATTTAGATGCTGCCGAGTTGCTGGGTGTTGGCGTTGCATGACCATGGGAGGCAAAATCATGCTCAGCCACACGGCGCGATAAAGAAACTTGCTTAGCCACATGACGCGATGTATAAATTTGCTTAGCCACATGACGCGACGCAGAAACTTGATCAGCCACAAGACGCGATGGAGAGACTTGCTCAGCCACAAGGCGTGATGGAGAGACTTACTCAGCCACAAGACGCAACGCAGAAATTTGCTCAGCCACAAGACGCGATGTAGAAACTTGCTCAGCCACAAGGCGCAATGCAGAAACTTGCTCAGCCACAAGACGCGATACAGGGACTTGCTCAGCCACAAGACGCAACGCAGAAATTTGCTCAGCCACAAGGCGCAATGCAGAAACTTGCTCAGCCACAAGGCGTGATGGAGAAACATGCTCAGCCACAAGGCGCGATGCAGAAACTTGCTCAGCCACAAGGCGCGATGCAGAAACTTGCTTAGCCATAAGATGCGATGCAGAAACTTGCTCAGCCGCAAGGCGCGATGAAGAAACTTGCTCAGCCTTGTGAAACTTGTGATTTTGCAATCGAGAAACGACAAGCAATTGTTGGATTCTAATTCCATAGTGAATTTTATTAAAGGATGTTTTAGGTTTAGATAATCAAAAAAGAGGCCCGCGTCAAGTTGATGGTTTAGGAATGGGCCTTCCCCTTGGTCCCACACTCGCTAACATTTTCATGTGCTTTCATGAAGTTTCTTGGTTGGCCGATTGTCCCATTGATTTCAAACTGATTTTTTATAATAGGTATATTGATGATACATTTCTGATCTTCAAGCATTCCTCTCACGCGGGCCTCTTCTATGATTATCTAAACCTCAAACATCCTTCAATAAAATTCACTATGGAATTAGAATCCAACAATTGCTTGTCGTTTCTCGATTGCAAAATCACAAAGTCGGGCGGTCGTTTTCAGACTTCCGTATATCGAAAACCGACATTTACCGGCTTGGGTATGAGCTTCTTTAGCTTCTGCTCGTTTCGTTTCAAATTGAATAGTCTTCAAACTTTTATATACCGTGGTTATAGGGTGTGTTCTACTTTACATGATATGCTTTGAAATTCGATTTCATTCGTAATATATTTCAGCTTAATGGTTTTCCATCGTGCCTTGTGTATAGTAAAATCAAACGCTTCTTATCTAACAAATTTTCTGAAACTGTTACTGAATGCGATAGTAAGAAAATTATTTATTGCACATTGCCCTATTTTGGTAGTGCGTCTGAAACTATGTACAAAGAACTAAAGATGTTGTGTTTGAAATATTTCCCGAATATAAATTTGCATGTTTTACTGGTAAATAATTTCAAAATTGGTTCTTCCTTCAGGTATAAGGACGTTATTCCTGCTCGGATGCGATCAAACCTGGTCTATGAGTTCTGTTGTGCACGCTATGCATCTACGTACGTTGGAATGACGTCGCGTAACTTCTACATCCGGGTTT